TTTTGTAATAAAAGGCATTTTAAGATGTTTTATTCATTTATTCATAAAATAACATTTTATCTCGAAAAAACGGAATATGGTCAGCTCTGAAACGGAAAATAACGGAATTAAAAATACTTCAAACGGAATTTGCTATTTTCTGAAACGGAAAATCATCACCCCTAAGTTAAGAATGCATATTGGATATTATTATTGTTTAAAATTCTATTATCACCATGGGTCGGGAAAATGAGAACGACCAATGAGTCGAAACGCGACGATTATCGAGTGGGAAAAATAATCTGCCATTGTTTAATTACACCGCTTCCAAAATGAACGTAAGCATGTCATGCCAATGAAATTGAGATTTCTATTCTATTATGGACTCATATTTTGATACCGTTACGGTACCGCTTCCATAATGAACGTAAGCATTTCATGCCAATGAAATTGAGATTTCTATTCTATTATGGACTCATATTTTGATACCGTTACGGTACCGCTTCCAAAATGAACGTAAGCATTTCATGCCAATGAAATTGAGATTTCTATTCTATTATGGACTCATATTTTGATACCGTTACGGTACCTGAGGCTTAAAATAACAATAGACTTATTGTACACGCAAAATCTTAATTCAGGCATGCTGCTGTGGCGGCTTCTTTGATGATTAAGATAGGCTACTAAACTTGATTACCCAATCAATAACTTTAATCTTCTGACCACTGGCACCAAGGTGCTAAATAATTGATGAGATTAACTGAACTGAAGTTAATCTCACCAAAGTTATAATATACATACTTAGACTACTAATGTATACACTGTTCTAAATTATAACGCTATCATAGGAAATGTGAATATGCCGCATGTGTTGTGGATGTTTTACTATGAAAAGAGCGCATTTACTACGATTTTCGTTTTCGGCACCCTTGAAAACCTAAAGAACAAAATATTAATATACATACTTAGACTACTAATGTATACACTGTTCTAAATTATAACGCTATCATAGGAAATGTGAATATGCCGCATGTGTTGTGGATGTTTTACTATGAAAAGAGCGCATTTACTACGATTTTCGTTTTCGGCACCCTTGAAAACCTAAAGAACAAAATATTAATATTAAACGACAAAATAACGAAAGATTTAATGGCATGGTTGCTGTGTGATATTGTTTTAGAACATACCGACACCTTTAACTTGCTTTTTTTTCAGAATTGTCATTTTGGTCGCCATTTTGATAAAACAAAATGGTTGATATTGACAGATTAATTTTACTACTACGATTATCATTTTGGTCGCCATTATGAAAAACAAAATGGCGGGTATTATCGGATTTATTCTTATACTGCAATTGATTGATGTAGCACCCCAAAAAACCCATTCAATGACATTAATAAACACATAACTTATGAAAACTCGAAAATTTGTCATTTTGGCGTCCATTTTGAAAAAAAAGATGGCGGAAATTGTCGGATCAAATTGTTACTACAATTTTCGTCTTCACACCCCTGAAAACCCCTAGAAAACAATATTCAACGACAAAACAGCAAATAAATGGCTTGGTTGCTATGGGATTTTGTTTTGAAAAATACCAAATCTTTAACTTGATTTTTCTCAAAACTTACTCTGGTGAGTTGGGTGGTTTTAAGCAGTCACAACTCGGTCAATTTTCGCCCGATTCAAACAAACTATACATCAAATTCAAGGTAATAAGTCGGAGAATGTGAAAATAACAATAACTTAATTTTCAAAATTTCCTCATTGCGACTCAGTATGCCATGGGGGGTCACAAATCATCAATAAGCGTTGAGCAGCAAATCGGATTCAAATCCAGTAAAAATTTGACGCATAAGATGACATCGAGAGTTTATTATGGTCTGGATCAGTTAATTAATGTCTAATTAATAGTTTATATAACATTTCAGGCCTAAAGAGAGACCTGCAATTGGCAGATTTGGCTCTTGCTGAAGTTGCAATGTACAGTATGTTTAAATGAAATGGGGTTACTGTTCTGCTCCCACTGGGTTAATGAACACAGGCATACGCCATACAGTGTGTTATAAGGGAAATTTTGCCCGGACAGCGGCGCTACGGTCTACTGTTATATATTGAATTCCAACTAACAAAAGATCTTTTACGTGCACCCCAATGTGTACAAAGGACCTATTTTTGCTCAAACTACCCTTTTATTTTTGTCATGCTACCATTGTACTAAAGAAACCTTGATTTTTACCGACTCATCCGAACAACGAAACACTTTTACAAGCTAGGCTTTTCTCTTACTTTTGAGAATATATAATATTTTGAACTGATGACTCAGAGCAAACTAACCTTGAATGTTATAAAATAAACAAGTTTTATGATGATACAGCAATATTACATGTAATTTACTCCTATCTCTATCTTTTAACAACATTCTACAGTTTTTTTAAACCATGTTAATGATAAAATAAACTGATGTAACCAAGGCCAACATAAACAAACCTCAAGCAAACAAATCGATTTAACCTCTCATAATTATCAGAATAAAAAACAGAAATTTGGAATCTGAGGGGAGAATTTTGCCCTGATGGCATTATAAACTGATGTGATACTACGTAACACTGACATAATCAAAGCATGAAATGGTGTTTAACATTTCATTAATATTTTGTGAGGGGAGAATTTTGCCCGGACAGCAGCGTAAATGACATCAATATAAACAAACCTTCTAACAAAGAAATGAAGTTTAACGTTGCATTAACATTTTGAGACTAACAAACCGCCATATTTATTCAACATGTGGAATATGAGGGGAGAATTTTGCCTTAACAGTAGCATAAATTACACTCAACAAAAACAAACCTTCAAATAGTGGTATCATCAACGCAATTGGAACTAACATATGGTCATTTTTACTTCTATGGTTACTGGTGCAATGCTAGGGGAGAATTTTACCCTGATAACATAATTTATGCGAACTATTTCTGTTTTTCATCTCATCTGAAGGACTAGTCATGCAACCCTTATAAGTTAAAACCTAGAGCAGGCTTAAAAAGCCAAGGTAATCTTCTTGACTCACGCCCAAGTTCAAACAGGAGAGATTCTAGTTGTTTATCTAGTGTTGCGAGAGAGAGAGAGTGGGGGAGAGAGTGAGAGAGAGAGAGTGGGAGAGAGAGTGGGAGAGAGAGAGAGAGAGAGAGAGAGTGAGAGTGAGAGAGAGTGAAAGAGAGAGAGAGAGAGAGAGAGATTAATGTGCTCGACACAAAATAGGTTATTTTGGGACTAACATATGGTTCAATTTAATCACCACTTAACACAAACTAGGTTATTTTGGGACTAACATATGGTTCAATTTAATCACCACTTAACACAAACTAGGTCATTCCAATTTCATTTCAATAATTCACTTGCAAGTAGGTGTAGTGGGAAATTGGAGGACCCAGAGAAAAAACCCTAGGTTAGACAGGCAACACAACACCTTGCCAGGTACAAGTAGAGAACCGAAGTCATACCACTCAACTCAACGACAGACCTTATGATTTAACGGGCATGAATTAAAACATTCACCCCCCAACAGCAGCTTTCCTGTTTCGTATTTATCGAGTGTTTATTGTACATTTAACCATGCTTGAATTATCCATTAGAACTCAACGCTTCTTAGGGTTCAATAATTCAATAAAAACTGAAAAACAATAACGGTTGAATAATTTGTAGTTCTAAAGTACGACAATTCACAATCAACAACGGAAAGACGGTAAAAGCACTTTGTAAATTTATCTCCCAACATTTCACAACCGTCAATTTTAAGCACTAGCCAACAACATCTTTAAGTGAAATGAAAATCAATATTTGTAGCTGAAAGCGTCATGGGAGAAATTCACCGGTCTAACATCGTTGATGAGACAAGACAACTGTACAACTAAACGTAGACAAAACAAATGATACAAAATGAAAATCAGAAGGAAATCTGAACAACTATACATTGAGCCTTGCCAGCACTTATCTCTTCTGTACCAACATCGGGTACCAAGCAACATCTAACTCCTTTAGAGAGAGAGAGAGAGAGAGAGAGAGAGGGTTTAATGTCCACTCGACACAAACTATGTCATTTTGGGACTAACATATGATTTTTTATTTTATTTTAATAATTCGCTTGCATGTAGGGGTCTTTAGCAGTGGGAGGAAACCGGAGGACCCGGAGAAAACCCATGAGGTTGGATAGGCGACCATACTCCTTGTCACGTACAACCAGGGATTCGAAACCTCGCCAGTTGACTCAATGACAGACCTTATGATACAGCGCGCACATGCTAACCATTCGGTCATTCAACCCCATTAACTCCTTTAGACACTTCGACTCCATCTTACTACACAAGTGCTATGAGAAACCATATTTTAATGGAGTTTGGTGGTAAACAAACAAGAAACAGCGAGGCTGATGTCCACATCCCTACCCTCAAACCTAAAATAAATAATCCCACTCCTTGATTAATAAAACATCAACTTTGTTTAATCTGAACAGAAAACTTTCTTTATTGATCTAAGCCATTATATAACTACAGTAGAATCTGTGCAAGCAGCCACTACTCATGCTCAGTGGTCACAATTAATTTCCCCTACAGAAATTCTTTGGTTTCATTTCTTTATCCCCAGTAACAAACACTGTGATTTTATTAAGAAACCACTCATGTTAAGTGGCCAGTCATAAAAATTCCTTTGAGCAGCTGCTGAATACAGATTCCACTGTCTCTAAACTAAACACTCTGACATAAACACTGAAGGCTTACCTTTTAAACCGAAAGGCATAGCATTTAAACAATATTGTCCACTTTTCAAATCATTAATTCCAAATAACTTAAAATTATTGTCATTCAATCACTAGAAAATCAAGATTAAATGTCGGAAAGACATTGTGCTAATATTGCCATACCTTACGGTCAAAGTGTACATGAATTAATTGGGCTAATTACCATGATGTTTCATTAGAGATCAATAAATGGCAGTGAATTATTATAATTAACATGTTATAATTACAGATGACGATCATGGGTTGATCCAGGTTTAATTGGCAAACAATATAACATGTGACAGAAACATGGCCGAAATGAACTACAAGACAATCAGACTATTTTAAATAATCCAGTCCAAATAAGGTAAGTTGTATTTCAGTGTTTTATACGATCGATACGCAGGTCTGCAATATCACTGTCGATAGAAACAGAAACTTTTGCCCGGACAGCAGCGCTATGGCTTACTCTTATATCGAATTCAAACGGATCTTTTACATGCACTCCAATGTGTCCACGAAATCCTTATACGTTTTATATCATAATGTGTCCACGACGCCTCGGTTTTTCGTGGCATCCAAACGATTAGATAGCTGTCCTTGTCATGCCCTCCTGCATCACTGACAAGGGAAAACCACGTCAGGAGCGAACCCACAAACTCCAGGCTAGCGAGCTATTGTCTTACCCACTGTGGCTACCATGTAGGTGGAAATACCCCTGCACAAATTGTTAGCCTCAAATGTTCACTCGATTTCATACTCCATTTTGTGACCCAGAAATAATAGAAAATTGAAGCTAAGGCAGATCTAATCTGTACGTTTGTACAAGTATATATACTACAGAAATAAAATTGACCGTTTATCTGTCTCATAAAAATTGAAGTATTCTATTGATGACCCCATTCCATTAACTAGTTTAAACCACATCAGGATCCATTGATGACCCCATTCCATTAACTAGTTTAAACCACATCAGGATCCATTGATGACCACATTCCATTAACTACTTTAAACCACGTGAGGATCCATTGATGACCCCATTCCATTAACTAGTTTAAACCACATCAGGATCCATTGATGACCACATTCCATTAACTACTTTAAACCACGTGAGGATCCATTGATGACCCCATTCCATTAACTACTTTAAACCACGTGAGGATCCATTGATGACCCCATTCCATTAACTAGTTTAAACCACGTGAGGATCCATTGATGACCCCATTCCATTAACTACTTTAAACCACGTGAGGATCCATTGATGACCCCATTCCATTAACTAGTTTAAACCACGTGAGGATCCATTGATGACCACATTCCATTAACTACTTTAAACCACGTGAGGATCCATTGATGACCCCATTCCATTAACTAGTTTAAACCACGTGAGGATCCATTGATGACCCCATTCCATTAACTAGTTTAAACCACGTGAGGATCCATTGATGACCACATTCCATTAACTACTTTAAAGCGTGTCAGAAATTATTAAAAATTATAAAACTGTTATAAAATATTTTAACTGATTGCATACTTTGGTTTAGAGAAATAAAACGAAAAGATAATTTATACTATATATATATATATACATTATTAATATCTGAAGACGCCTAATATAAAGGTCAGACTAGCTTAATAATTTAATATTTAATATTTAATGTATGTCAGTATTAAGTAAAGAGGAGAATTGTTTACCTGGACAAATTTCTATTTATTTATATATATATATATATAAATATATATATATACACAAAAAAGGTTAAAGTTGACTGCTCTTAGGTACAACCTGGTTAAAACACAGATCCTATTTCGTTTCGTTTTTATAGTTCAAAATTTCGTTTTACTTGTCTTTACTACACTTGGATATCGAAGAGTTGTTATTTAACTCGTGTTCTGAATGGTGTCAAGGATAAGCCAATGAAACGGTCTGTTACGGCGAGCTTTAGGTGTGTTTTGCACGGAACTGTGGGTAATCCACTAGTAACATCAATGCCGATTGGTTAATCAAATGTCTGACATCATAGGGTCATAAGTCGGTCTTTTGACCCCTGACATGACCTATCGCTATAACTTGTCAGATCTTCGTGTAGTGAAGGCCATCGAAAATATACAAAATCGAAACGAAATATAGATCTGTATTTTAATAAATACATATACAAAAATAAATACAATATGGACTGAAGAACTACATTTGTATACATGACAAATATACATGAGATCCGACTCGAACCACCCTCCACGAGAGAGGCACGCCATTTTACCGCATATGCAAAGCGCTCACTGACAGTCTGTGGGCCCGAACTGTGGAATGTTCTCCCTCGAAATCTTAGGGCAATCGATATTTACAGTCAATTTAAGGCCACTCTCAAAACGTTTCTTTTTAGGCAATACTACCTTTAAATTAATGATTGTATCTTTATCACATATCACGTATTCTTATTATGTATATTATGATATTTTTATTTTTATTGTGTTCTGTGTTATATGTATAAATTGTAAAGCCTACTGAGATAATGTATGGAGTGGGCTCTAAATATAATAATAATAATAATAATAATATACAAATGTAATTCTTTAGTCCATATTGTATTTATTTTTTTATGTGTATTTATAGAATCTGCATTTTACCGCATGTTTTTCGGAATATCCACCTATTGAAATTTAAAAAGATAAATCTATTCATATTCCCCTCTTTTATCTGGAAAATTAAACAGATCTGATTTAAAGAAAGAAAAGAGACTTATTATAGACCACATTAACCTGATCATAACTCCCGGTTTGGATTAGAGAATAAAATAAACGAGAATTCCCATGCGATCTAGCGAAATAATAGAAACAGATGACAATAACCAGTGGATTAAATAAAAATAAACCATGTCCCGCCATACAAATCACTGATAATCACGTTATCAATCATAAACTTCTCACGAAAAGCTGGGTCACGTCTTTAACAATGGAACATATAAATAATATATATTATAATACAAAATATATGACGACCGCCCAATCCCCCCACCTACTTGCATAAAGATCATAAGATTATAGTTATTAATTCAATCATTTTGTCAAGTTCTGAAGTTCACTAGAGACCAGTTATTTAGGCTAGATCAATTTCTTTTAACAAAGATCTACTGTGATTTTATAACATTTATAACTTTTTTCTATCAAGTTGCTTTTTTCGTTTAATTGATTGTACTGCATGAAAGCTTTCGTATGCCTTTTCTTTCAAGGAATGGAAATGGATTAACATTTCGTCAACCAATTCTTTTGAAAAAAATAAAAATAGATAAAATGATACAAGAATAAATCCTAACATTTAAGTATTAAAGCAGTTCAAAAAAATAAAGATCAACACAAAAAATCTCAAAATATATAGAAGTGAAAAGAAATGAAATGGGGTTTAACTTCCTACTGTTCTGCTACCACTGGAGAGAGAGAGAGAGAGACAAATGGGGTTTAATGTCCACTCGACACAAACTAGGTCATTTTGGGACTAGCAAATGGTTTTATTTTTTTTATTTCAATAATTCGCTTGTGTGTAGGGAGTTTTTAGCAGTGGGAGGAAACCGAAGGACCCGGAGAAAACCCACAAGGTTGGTGCTACAACATTGCTAATGAAGACAGGGCATACGTACGCCATTGCAGTGTGTTATGAGGTAAATTGTGCCCGAACAGCGGCACTAAGCCCTACTCTTATATCAAATTTCAACTGCCATGGGATCTTTTATGTTCACGGGATCTCGTTTTTTTTGTTCCATCCAAACAACTATACATTGTTCCTTGCCACGCCTTCGATCCTGCACCACTGACAAGGGAGAAACCCCGCCGGAAAATCACGATAAACTTTCTCAGCCAACGCCAGGTATCAAACACATGACCCAAAGTCTTACTCACTAAGCCACTGTGGCTTACTCGAAACCTATAGTCAGTTACTAACAAAATATTGAAACAGTTAAAAATAAACTTCCTTTTATATTACTAGATTTTATAAACTCTCACCATATAGTCCCAACATATTAAAACAGATAATATAAAGTCTCTCCATATAGTCCCAACATACATGTATTAAAATACTTCAAAATATAAATATATCATTCGAACACACCATCCCTTACTAACTTACAAAACCTTAAAACACAGAAAGTCCCTTATAAACTTACAAAACCTTAAAACTTTCTAACATATGAAGTCCTTACAAACTTACAAAACCTTAAAAATTTCTAACATATTTATTATAGTCCTTACAAACTTACAAAACCTTAAAATTTTCTAACATATGAAGTCTTTACAAATTTACAAAACCCTAAAAAATTCTAACATATTTATTATAGTCCTTACAAACTTAGAAAACCATAAAAATTATTAAGTCCTTTACTAAGATACAAAACTTTATATTAATATTAAAATAGGTAAAAATAAGAAAAAAAGTCCCTAATTAAAGTACACGATCTTTGTATTAAAACAGACAAATTCTTTTTTTTTTTTTTAAAAAAACCACATTACAATCTTACAAGATATTAAAAATAGGTAAAAATAAAAAAAAAAAACTGTGACACACTACTAACTTAAAATAATTCCAAATAAAAAAAACTATCTCCATGAAGTCCCTAGACAACTTATAAGGTATCAAAATATAGATAAAAAGGAAATTTAAAAAAAAAAATGTAAACACATAAAGTCCCTTATGATCTCACAAGATATTAAACTGAGAAAAATAAAAAAAAGTCTCTCCAGAAAGTCCCTAACCAACTTATAAGTATAAGCCTTTTAAGATATATGTAAAAAAAAGAAATTTAAAAATAAAAAGTTCAACAAGTTCCTTACAGAGATATAGCTAAAAAAATAAAATTCAAAAAAAAATTCAGAAGTCCAACTATATAAGTATTAAAATACATAAAATTTAAAAAATTAAATTTAACAAAAAAATGACCCAATTGAAGAAATCCCTAGAAACTGATTCAAGTATTACAAAAAACCCAGAAATAATAATTACAAAATACCTTCAATTGAATGCAAACCCAAATCCTTGGCAATATGAATCTGTGAACTCCTATTCCTCAAATGACTGGGTTACAGAATCAAAAGTCTTGCGGGTAGAATATAGCAATAAATTAACCAATCCTATAACCACCTTGTCTGTTGTGGGTACTTGATGTCTCGTTGACAAAAAGATTTATAAAGACAGACGACACTGTTATAAGTTGTTATACTCCATGATTTATCACCGACATTAATATGTCTGTCGTCGTAGGCCTATATTGTCTCTACATAGGTCACCTTTCACTCTTATTAAACTAATTTAATTAACAATTTCACAGATGTCGTTTTATCTCACTTGATTAGATAATTATTGTTTATTTCTGGCAA